AAAACCTTCAATTTTTTCCATTTCTAACAATAATTTCTTTTTAAATAACTTAAATACAAAATTTAATAAATTTCGTTGCAGGAATTCAATTATTTTTACAAGTAATAAAATTTTTCACATGAATTCAATTATTTAAAAAATTCCCTGACATTTCCCTGAATTCCCTGATTTCCCTGACCTGTGGCATTACTTTAAATAATTAATTTAACTAATTTCTGCGTAATTAATTTAATTATTATTAATCTATAATTAATAATGTACTCAACTAGTACAAATCCAACTAATTTAAATTCAGACAGACAAAAATAAAAATCATTATTATTTCCAATAATTCATAGAATTCATTCAGAATATAAACAGATATTTCCTCTAAGCCTCTTAATACTCCTTTCGGTGCTATAAATACAATCATCGAGTTTATAACTCGGATACTTTGATTCAATTTGGGTAGGAGGGAAACTTAAAATCTCCAGAGATCAACCCTCATATTACGAATATAATTAAATTAGTCCACTGAATAAAAAACACATCGTTTAATTATACCAAATAGAATTAACGGAAAAGTATTTTTAATTCAATTACTTTGTGACTGAATTAATAAAAGCTGTGTGCGCGGCTAAAAGGAACAAAGTTAATAGAAAAAAAAAATAATAATTAAATGTTTCCGGTAATGTCAATGTGTTAATTATTAATTTTCATTATAAAAACAATATAATAATCTTTTAGAGAAAAAAAATATAGTTGAATAACAATAATAATGGCGACGTTTTACGTCTTCTTATCCGCTGCAATTGCAGTTCTAGTCAATTGCCATGCTCGTAAATTTTAATTGTTACGAGTCGACATAGTCAATTTATGACATTTTTCTTGTAGAAAACGACTCATAATTACGATCTATTATCTATCTTCAGGCCATCGTATAGGACATTTTCTAATACTCGCATGAAAAGTGCAGTAACTAACATCGTTAAGCCAAAGTGAAATTTTATTAGCAGATTCATAAATTGCACATGCATTAATGCCTCTACTAAAGTTAAAGCTCTCAAGGTTATTTAATAAATAAAAACAATTACAAAAACTTCTGATTGCTGGGAATATCAACTAAACTGCAGAGCTCAGATATTATGATTTTTCGACTATTTTCCAAAAATGCAATTTTTTTCGATTTATTTTTAAAAATTGCGTCCTATTCGACATTTTACAACTAAGGAAATTCGTAATAAGTAAATGTAATAGAACATTTTTTTAAAATTTTAATCATCTTTAGAATGAATCAGAATATTCTTTAGAGTCATGGGGAATAAGTGAAATTCTTTTTTCTGGAAATCAGAGAAATGTCAGGAAAAATCAAAATTTATTTTCCTTCTCGAAATCCGGGTAATAATTTAGTTTTATTTCTGAATGATGGCGTTGCATTTGAAATCAAAGCACTAGACAATTCGTGGTCCCAACTTTCCAACTAAGAGGCACGTTGAACTAATTGTAAGAGTCGAGAAGTCTTTCGGAAGTTCACGATGTCGTGCAAGTTACTTGAAAGTTTGAAGATTAGAATAGCCACAGCGTGCAAGAAGATACTTCAAGTACATTTATCTGATGACAAACAAATCGTTAATTGTTTACGTCTCACTTAACTTTCAACTTTAATTCAAGAGACCTTTAAATATACTTTCTAAAAACTCCCGCAATAATGAAGCGAAAAAATTTCTGTTATTCGTAAATTCCACTTTTTTTCATATATATATACATTTGAAAGCAAAATTATCAACTCGCGGGAAAAATTTATTTTCTCAATGAATATGAATATTTTCTACTCTGTTGGATATAAGGAATTAGATAATAAAGTTATGGTATCAATTATAAATATATAATTATTGATATAATTCGGATCGTGATTGTGTTAACTATATAATATTGTCTCTTAGGAAAAACAATCTATACAATAGAGTTTCTTATTCTCACGCATTTATCTTATAGTACTTTCCACTTTGACATGTTTGGGGTCCTTGTAATGGAATCGTCACAGAATTCAGGAGAAAGTTAACTAGTCACGACAATATAGTATCGAGGAGAGAAAGAATTTTTTTTCTCAATTAAAATGGGTCGTATACTACTTGTCCCTTGCTTTTGTTTGACGAAGCATATATTTGCACTTATGAATAAACCTTAATGTTACACTCGTAACAGAAAAAAAACCCTTAATAGCTTCTTTAACTTCAAGTATACTCGAATGATTTAGTTTCTTCAATTCTTATCATTACCAAGGATAAAATTATCCAATTCACTTAAAAATGCAAATTTTGTTCTGCTTCGAATGATTTGTGTAAACCAGGTCTCGAACTCATCTGCTAAAACCTACTATTTACAACTTTTTTTTTACGATTTGCTACTATTTAAATACTTTTTTTTTATTTGTTACACTAAAAGCTACTTTTTTTCCATGTTTCAGAATTTACATAACTTTCAATTTGTTAACAGTTGAAATAATAAAATTATTTTAAAAAATTTTTAATAAAGTTATGGAAAAAATTCTTTTTGGCGAGGAATTTTGCCATTTATAAAGATAATTCAAATGTTCACGAGAATTTTTTAATAATTTTTGAAAATAATTGAATTTCAGGAAAGAATTTTGATATTTATTAAGATAGTAGAATTCTTTTAAAGAATTGCGTTAAAATTTTAAAAATTAAAACTAATATCAACAGAATTTAAATTTAAAAAAAAATACTTTATTAAATGATTTATAAGTACTAAATTTCTGTCGAATTTAAAATTTGACTTTCGTTTCGATTTTGGCATTGACTTTACAAACTTCGCTTTTCACTTTCGATTTTTTTCTTTGACTTTGAATTTGACTTTGAAAGACAAGTTCAAAGTCTTTAAAATCAGTGTCAAAATCGAATCGAAAGTCAATGTTAAATTACAAAATTTGCAGCAAGAATTAAAAAAAAATATATTCTCGTCTCATATTTTATATTTTAGTAACAATGAATTCAATGCTCGTGTTTTGTGAATACTCGATTCAAAATAAATATATAAACGAACCTTTAAACAATGAAAAAAGTTTTTTTTTTTTTTATTTTTCGTTCCACCGTAAAAAATGAAAAAATAATTAACAATATACTAATATTGTTAATTATTTATCCATTGTTTATTATCAAACGAAAAATAAGTTCAAAAAACATTGAAATTCCTACATAGTAGCGCACTGAATATTATATTAAAAAAAAAAAAAAGAATTTACGAGCTGTAAACAATGAATTCACCAATTAGATACCGAGGCATGTAAACATACTACATTGTTAAAGAGGAAATTTAAAAATTTTTTGAAGCATCAACAATAAATTAACATCAATTGTAGTACATGTTCTTTTAGTCGCATCCAACGAGCATGCGTTTGTTTCTCCATAAATATCTGATTCATCGTATTTCAAGCCGACCCTGATTGTTCAAAAAAAAAGTCGTTATTTTCACATAGTCGACAATTATTTTCAGACATATTTAAATACTTAAAAAAAAAACCATTGCTGAGTGTGTGAAAATAACATTTTCTTAGCATTATTTTCATTGTCAAGAAGCAGTAATTGTTACACGTAATTGTAACTAATCTGCAATTATTTTAATTAATTCTGCGAACAATTTATAATTAATAAAAATTATTTTATGAAATAATATTGTTAATTTTATAAAATTTAAATTTTTTTAATAAAAATCTAATTTATAACAGTTTTTGTTCTAAACAAGTATTTAAATTGCTTTCCACGTAGTTTGTAGTCGTTAAGGCGCTTAAAAATTCATTGCGCATGTTTAAAATACGCACAAAGCTTGTGCGCATGTCTAAAATGCGCACAATACCAGTGCGCATGTTCAAGGTGCGTAGAAATTAATTGCGCATGTCTAAAATGCGCACAACACCATTGCGCATATTCAAGGTGCGTAGAAATTAATTGCGCAATACGCACAACGCTTGTTTTCTTTTATAAATATTTACAGTGGAGAAAAATTTCGTTTTTTTTTTACTAGTTGATCATTTTTGATCAAACATTTTATTTTTGTCATTTGTAAATTAATTTTTGCTTAAGTTTGATTATAAAAAAAATATAGTAAATATTTAAGTGCACGAGACAAGGAAATCTTACCTGACTTTTGCAAAAAAGTAGATTGAAGTGATTGGTAAGGAGATTCAACGGGCGAATCGAATCGCTCGATAGGATCGCGCATCTAGAATCGATCTTATACAAGATCAAAGTGGTTGGAGTGACACGATCTCCATTAACTTCGAGTGGCAATTTAAGACTTATCCATAAGGACTTATTATCTCAATTGTACAATCGGATTTCTCTCTGATTTCATTTGAATGAGTAAAATTGAGAGGGGAAAAAAATGCAAATCATAGGGTACGAACTGCGACACGGTTTTAGAAAAATTCCCTTCCCTAAACGCAACTACACTTTCCTAATCCTTACATAATATGAGCGGTGAAACAATTTGCATTGTAATTTCTTTACATTAACACACTATATATATTCACTAGACAATTTCACGTAAAATATATTAATAATGCAATTTTTTTTTTTACTTTCACTTTCCATTTGGAACTTTTTCATAATTGCTAATAACTTTATGGAATCTTATAGTCTAGAAAATTATTTCAGAATATTTAAAATACTTAAAAATGAATTGCTATTAGGAAATAAATATTTTGAAAATATAATTCAAGGCTTGCAATGTTACTAAATTAATTGAGACGCGCAGTAACTGTCTGCGCACACTTAAGATGCGCAATTACTTTCTGCGCACATTGAACATGCGCACAATGGCACTTTAGACATGCGCACCAAATTTCTACTCACATTAAGTAAAAAATAGAACAAGTTGGTTTAAATATTTAAAGAGGGGAGTGGGCATTATAAAAATCTTACCAGTGTAGAAATTAATTAATTAAATAGTAAATATCAAAATATAACGAAAAGAAAAACCAATAAAAATTGAATAAAACTCACTTTGTTTGGAATCCCTCGAATTCCTCCTGCTGCTCGCTGATCGAAGCCTCGAGGTCCAAATACGCTCCATAATCACCATCCTTGTACAATTGAAGGGCAGTATCATCGAGCTGTTACAGAAACAAAATCAATAATTAATTTCAAAAAAGAAGAACAAAACTAATAATTGTTTCTATTTGCATCTTTAATTGCAAAAAACTTTTTACAAGTTCAATGTTTCGTGCCGTTAAAGTAGCGGTAGGTCTCGCCAACAAAACTACAAAACATAAAAAAAAGTACTGCAACGAAATAAAAAAAAAAAAAAAAAAGTCTAACTACAAACTCGCTTATTTAAACGTTGAAATGTGCATCTCTTTAAGCGGACCATTTCCGCCCGTTGTGAGGAGATGTAACAGGATCATTGCTGCTCTTAAAGAACTTACAGTTGTACACTTTATTTTTATTCCATCTCCGATGACAACTGTTCATCTCAAACGACAAATGTATTTTTACAAGAACAATAAAGCAGGATTAAAAGAAACTTATAGCAATTCGCGAAATTGTGTAATTGTAAATATTTACTTCAAGTTTGCCTTACTTTGTTTATAGATATAAAATGGGATCGTTGAAAAACTACAGAGCTTTTTGAGGAGGAAGCAGAAGTTTTTCATATGAAAGGAAAGTTGGAACAATGGGTTCCAACTTTCCAATTATTATTGGCTAATAATAATTATTAGTAGTTAATAATTATTAGTAGTTAGTAATTATTAGTAGTTAATAATTATTAGTAGTTAGTAATTATTAGTAGTTAATAATTATAATTATTTAATAATTATAAGTGATACAAAAACAAAAAAAATTTATTGTAAACTGTGATTGAAATTAAAGAACAAGTTTCTATATCCTATCTGTATTTTTAGAAATCACTTTGTTTTTCAACTGTTTCTCGTTATCTTGCGAAAAACAGATGAATAACAACTGTTTCTGAAAATGCAAGTAGGTCATCATTAGATACTTCTATTATTATAATATGTATTCGCATTATTATTAATATTTCTCTGTATGCTAGAATAATTTTTAACCCCACTATTGATCGAAACACAACTCATTTAAAAAACAATTATTCAAAAAGAATAAAAATTAATTTACATATAACAACAGGGCAGGCCTCGCACTCATCTATATTAAAACCTACTTTTTACTATTTTAATAAAAAATTTGAATAAAAATCTTTACAAACATTCAATTATTTTCATAAATAAAAAAATTTTCACAGGAATTCAATTATTTAAAATTAAAACAGAATTTTCCTAATATTTTTTCGAATAAAATCAATTATTTGAATAGATTTTTATTACATTGTTAGCAAGAATTCAATTATTTTTAAAAATAATAAATTTCTTCTCAGAAATTCAATTTTTTATTAAAATTTTAATAATAATCGTTGCAAGAATTCAATTATTTTTATAAATATTAAAACTCATCAAAGAATTCAATTATTTTTATTTTACAAATAATTAAATTCATTCAAGAAATTTAATTAAAAATATATTGAGAATAATTATTCAATTCTAATAATAAATTTTATCAAAACTTTTTTATAATAATTGAATTCTTTCGAAGAATTTTCTTAAATTTTTAACAATAATTGCAGTTTTCGAGAAATTTATTTAAAATAATTAAAAATAATTGAATTTCTGCGATGAGCTTTAATATTAATAAAAATAATTGAATTCTTGCAACGAATATTATTAAAATTTTAAAAAATAATTGAATTTCTGAGAAGAATTTTATTATTTATAAACATAATTCAATTCTTACGAAGAATTTTATTATTTATAAACATAATTCAATTCTTACGAAGAATTTTCTTAAATTTTTTTTTAAATAATTGAATTCGTTCGTGAAATTTGATTAAAATAGTAGATATTGAAAATAATTGAATTTAACCAATGGTTTTCATTATTTGAGAAAATAATTAAATTCTTACGAAAACTTTTCTTAAAATTTTTAAAATAATTAAGTCGTTTCGAACAATTCAATTATTTTTATAATTATTAAAATTTATCGCACGATTTCAATTATTTTAAATATATGTAATTTTAAATTCATTTCGCCAAAAACGCAATTATTCTTAAAAACTTGAATAAAATTCTTCGAAAAAATGCAATTATTTAAAAAAATTTGATACAATTTGTTTCTTATGAATTTAATTCTAAAAAATTTTAATGCAATTCTTCGTAAAAAATTCAATTATTTAAAAAAATGTTGATAAAGTTCTTTTTATAAGAATTGAAAGTTAAAAAATATTCAATTATTCAATAAATTATTTCTTTTTGTATTTAAATAATTGAATTCTCGTAGAACTTTCTAATAAGAATTGATTTAGAATTGAATAAAATAAAATGATTAAAGTTTTGAATAATTTTATTATTTCAAGAAAAATAGGATTGAATTTTGAAAGAACTTTTGTAATTTTTAGAAATAGTTAAATTTCGAAGATGCGTTACATTAAAATCATTTGAAATATTTTAATTTCTGTAGACAAAATAAACAGGTATTTAAATATTTATTTAAAAAAATTATTCTATTTTTGAATCTAATTAAGAAATTATAAAAAAATCGAGTCGTCAAGTTTAAGTTTTCGATAGCTACATTTTTACTACTTTTTTTCTGTGTTTAAGCTACTTTTTGCTACTTTATTAAAATTAATTATCGAGTACGAAGCCTCAGAGGGTTAATTGACCATTTAGTTCCTTTAATAGAACAAAGTTCTTTTTCCGTTTCTAAAAAGAAAAAAGTAACGAAAAATGCACATCTCGCGACGAAACTCATGAAGTCAAACGCTAGTGACCCATATTTCTAAAAATTTCAGTTTGAAAATAGTTTGAACACACACGTGCCTTCGAAGCTTCCACAGAAGCCACTTTATTCCTTTGCAACACACCAATACAAGTCACACTTATAAAGCTTGCATTTCCGTGGTTTCTATGTCGACCCAAGCTCTCCTTAACTATTTAAATACAGTTATGTAATACGGCGGTAATCTCCAAACTATTTTACAGTAATTAACCTACTGAACTAAATTATAAAACAGGGGTAGAAACTTTTTAACTACTTTATAAGAACTTTTAAAGAGATAATTCTTACACGTAAATCTAATTTAATTTTCAACACATGGGAAGGCAAAATGTCAATAATAATAAGTTATAAAGAAAATGTTTCTTTTTTGTAAAAATATAAAATAATAAAATGAATATTCTTTGAAATGATGTGCAGTAAAATTTCGAACGCTTTTTCCATTGAGTACCTGTGATATTGAAGTTGATATTACAGAGCGGTACAAATATTAATCAACGCTTTCTTGAAAACAATAATAGTTATGAACAGTTTGAGCTAGGCGTTGGTTTAAATTTAAGTTTTACTGCTGTGGAAGAAAGGAGGTCGTCCAATAATACAACTTCTGATGTATATATTTTCACGCAATAAGTAGTTTAATATTTTGCTTTCACTGTTTTATTTCATGCATTTAATTTAATGTTATAAATGTAATCTTCATTCAGAACAAATCCCACAAATTCAAGTTTCCTTCTATTTCAATTAATTAACTTTTAACAGAAATTTATTTTTCGCGAACTTAATTAATAAAAAACGGTAGGAAAATATTTTCCTAAAGTTTATTATTAGCGAAAAAAAAAGATGACTAGCTTTCTAAACTTGTTGAAAAGTATATTTAAATTCCCACACGTGATGAGAATGTAAAAAATAGAAATGAAATTATTTCAGGTGAATTTATTAAAAATTATTTGTTAATGTTGGTAACGTTGATAATTTATGTAATTATAAATATTATAAATATTATAATCAGTGGAGTAATGTGGAGTTTATGATAAAACGTTCGTTAAACCCAATCTACGAGAGTAAAAGCTGTTTACTCTCGGTATAAAAGTAAAAGCCAGTCAAGTATATCATTTATTATGTAATTTACATAACTCTATTTGAAACGAGAGAAGCGCAAAGTTACTCTGCCGAGCGGCACGCTTCGATGAATATATAGGTGACAAACTACACGCACGCTTTTGCTTACCGCATCTATAAAGTGGCTAGACACAAACGCGAATCAACACGCTGAGAATAGCATATAAACTGAAGATGATAAACGGCCTGCTGCATTAGCCGATAATGAATGTAATAATGGTCCCAAAAGAAGAGAATTTTTTTTTTTTTACAAAAAGTGAGCATATGAACAAATTTTATAGTTTTTTTATACAAAATTATAAAAAAGAAAGGAAAAGAAGAAATTAGTATAAGAAAAGAGGATATTGTTCTTGTAACTTTAACTTTAACCCTAGAAACTCATCCAACAAACGCAACTTTGAATTTTTTTAAATTTGTCCCCGATTCGCAATAAGCAACCTAAAAAAAACTCTTAGGCTATCAAACTTTATAAAAATCCAACAATTTTTAGAAAAATCATCCGCCATATTGGATCCGGCATTTTGAATTTTGAAAAACTGATGTCTGATTCAAAATGTCGGATCCAATATAAAAATCCAACAATTTTTAGAAAGATCATCGGACATTTTGAATTTTAAAAAACTCTTGCTCGGTTACTATAAAAATTTGATATTGTTCCTCCCTGACTTTTCCCTAATTTATGAACAGACTTCCTAAGTTATTCCCTGATCCCTATAAAATAAAATTCAAGTGAAAATTTTTTTTTTTTAAGATTTAATAAAAACAAAATTCTTAAAACTTGAAAATTAAAGAAACTAAAGAAGATAACTTTTAAAAGCAAAAATTTAATATTTTAATTTGAAACTAACAGTATCAATACCTATTTTAAAAATAAAATTAGTTAATGTGACAAACTTCCCTCGAATATTTTAAAAATTCTGACCCTGAGCGACGACACTTACTTCAGTGGGACATAAAAAATTCAATTATTTTTAGTATAATTATTGGAAATTTCAATAATTTCAGAAAATTTCAATTACTTACTTTTACAACAATTTAATTAACTTTAAAAAGAAGAAATATTTTAAAAACCTAATTTTTCAGAATCATTTTAAAAATAAATATTTAAATAGTATTAATTATTTCAAAGCAATTATAATTTTCCACAAATATT